TCATGTAGTTCTCCACCAAACTTTACATGGGAGAGATTTTGATGCAAGGCTGGATTACTGCAATTCAATCTGCATAATATGCATTATTGTGCTAAAGAAAATCTGCATTTGATACATGAGGTGCAGGTTCAAGGTAGATGGAGTCTTAATGTTTGGTGTGGTATAGTTGATGGAAAGATCGTAGGTCCATATTTCTTTGATATAACTTTAAATGGCGAAAAATATTTGGATTTTTCTGGAAAATCAGTTGCTTGTTTTATTGGAAGATATTTCCTTACAAACAAGAAGAGACATGATATTACAATATGACGGGTGTCCTACGCACTTTTCCAGAGGAGTTCGAGATTATTTGTATGCAAGTTATCCAAATAAATGGATTGGAAGGGGAATCTCCAGACTTAACATATCTGGACTTTTATCTGTAGGGAAGATTGAAGGACTTAGTGTACCAAACTTGACCAACCACGCGAGTCGAGATGAAACAGCGCATTATAAACACAATAAATAGTATATCAACAGCTGAGATTGAAGCAGCTGTTATGTCTACGCGCGAAAGATTACATTTACTTTCTGTGGACAATGATGGAAAACAATTTGAACATTTAATTGGACATTAAGTTCTAATGATCGAGACGTTTGTATGGTCTTTGACATATTTAATTTTCCGTTATAATAAAGGGTGTGAGTCCATACTATACTTATTTATATTTATGCGTTTTTATTCATATCTCGAGTTCCACAAAAGCTATCAACATACGGTTTGCGCCGTTTTGTTACGACTTTAATCCAGTTCCATTATAATTTACAATACATAGGTGTTTCCATTAAACATTTTAAAGAAAAATAAATTTTAATTTTTTCTATTCAAAACGGCGATTTACCCATGACAATTAAAACTAAATTTCAATTGTTTTATAGTAGATATAAATTAAATCATCCATACTCTTTCTAATGACACTAATTTTCGTTAAAATCGGTTGATCCAAACCAAAGTTATAGGTATTTATCCACAAATACTTTCCCACTCTCCCACACCCTTTATTTGAAAAAATAAAAAAAGTACTTGAACAACTTTGTGAATAATTAAGGCCTCTTTCTAGTTTACTTATTTAACACTTGGTATAATTGGGCATATTTCACAAAAAACTGGTTTTCAAATTTTTATTCACAGGTTACGCCCCTTAGCGCTTAACCCAGAAACTTGAAAGTTATTTCCAGCGATTTCTCTTGACCACTTTTACTAAGGAATTTTTTCTCCTAAAGTTATAACATGAATAGTTTCTGATATATTGCCGAGAGATCGGCTTATTGGACCAATAGGTACTTGTATAGATTGTAGATTGTACTTGATGTATTTCCCTGTACAGACAGTCACTTTGAGGCAATCTATAGACACACTGATGATGGAATATATATTCCGAAAACGTTTTGTGATTGTGATATAGCCCCATTGGGTGTTTTAATTATATACGTTTTAATAAAGGATTTTAAATAAATTATTTGTGATACATGGTAGACAACCAGCTACAGGAACTTAGTTTCCTTCTGGATTGTAACAAATAAAGTTCTTTTTTACAGTAATTAATTATAAATTATTAACACTGAAAACAAGGAAGGTGAGAAAAAAAAGTGACTTTTGGTATTATAAGCAAATATTTATTTTAAGATCATAAACATATGGTAATTTAATTATCGACTAAAAAATACATGTACAACAATAAATAGTCTTGGCTTTTGCCAATAATTTGGCATTACTTTAAAGTATATTGTAAATGTTGCTTCAGTTAGTCTCAACATAATTGATACAATTTAAATGAAACAAGACGTTACTTTATCTTAAACATCATACAGAAATGTTCTTTAAAGATATAAGTGTATACATTATAATTCAAGAAACTGTAAAGTTTGAAAAATATTTAAAATTTAAGTATAGAGACTTTCAATATGGACTTAATAAATAAATTTCAATAAACCACCATGGATGGATATAGCGTACCATATGTACGTCGACAGAACTCAAGATGTGTGACAAACATCGCCTCTGTCCTTAAGGGTGCAGGAGATTCCGAAGCAGTCGATTTAACGTCGGTATTAACAACAGAACAATAACAATCCCTGAAGATTGGAAGGAGTTTGAGTTATCATCTCAATAAAAAAACACGACAACTCGGACTCCATTCCAATCTCTTATAGGCCCATATCATTAGCTTCACCTGTGTTGATTGTGTCTACATCGCAAAACTCTTCCATGATAATCGCGAAAGCGCTCGCTACTAGATGGCACTCTGGAACGTTCTCGTAGCCTCGTTTTGGCTTTATATAAGCGGCGATGCGCAACGAAACCTCAGTTCGAATCCAAACAGCCTATGGTGGCGAACGCGGTGTTGAGTAATGAGTAAATATTTTACAACTTACGTATTCCTGTTTACGTATTTACATCTATGATAAATTATAAATCATGGATAAGTTTTTGAAAAGAAGTGCAGAACCATCTACGTCTGAAAGTGGCAGTAGCAGCAATAAAAAGAAAAACAGATTCTACATTGATGAATATCCTTAAATATGGTGTTACCGTTATTTCCAATAAAAGACAATGTGTTATTTGTGGACAAGTCTTGTCAAAAGAAAGCATGAAGCCATCAAAATTACTTCGACATTTAAATAGTAAACATCCAGATAAAAAAAACAAGCCGTAGAATTCTTTGAAAGAAAGCTGAACGTCCTTCACAAGCAGCAAGACAGTTTTTCCTTGGCAACCACTACTAATCAAAAAGCATTATTAGCAAGTTATAAAGTTGATTATCGTGTTGCCAAAACTTGTAATCCGCACACAATTGCTGAATATCTTATTTTCTCCAGCAGCTGTTTGAAATGGTAAATATAATGTGGGGGAAAAGAGAGGCTGCAAAATTAAATACAATACCTCTGTCAAATAATACTATCCAAAGAAGAATTAGTGATATGGCAGAAGATATTCAAGCGCAAGTTGTGGAAAATCTTAATAAATGCACGTACTTCTCTCTTCAAATGGACGAATCCACAGATATATCTAACTATGCCCAATTCATTACGTTTGTAAGGTATGATACAAATAATGGCATTCAAGAAGATATTTTATTTTGTTCCCCATTGGAGACCAATACCACTGGAAAATGTTTACTCGACACTTTTGTGAAACGTACAAGTAAATATGATATTGACTGGGTAAATGTATTGCTATATGCACAGATGGCGCTAAAGCTATGACAGGACATAAATCTGGTCTAGTCGTCAAATTACAAGAAATAATGCCAAATGGAGACATTGTTTTTTACATCGAGAAGCTCTTCCGTCCAAAGCTTTACTTCCTGAAATGGACTGTGTTATGAAAACCATCATTAAAGTTGTAAATTCCATTAAAGGAAAAGCTTTGCAGGCCCGTATTTTTAGAAAAATCACACCTTCTCTATCACATCGAAGTAAGGTGGCTTTCAAGGGGCAACGTCTTAAAAAGAGTACTTCAGAGCAGAGTACTTCAGAGTACTTCAGAGTACTTAAGAGCAGAGCTTTTAATGTATTTGAAAGATGAGAAGTCCCCATATGAAAATCAATTTTTCGATCCTATTTGGCTTCTGAAACTAGGTTTCCTTGCTGATATTTTCGAGCAATTAAATATTTTGAACAGTAATTTACAAGGTCGCGACATTAATATAATTACAGCCACAGATAAAATTAAGTCGTTTCTAAGAAAAATCGATTTATGGTCGACCTCACTTGGCAAAAACAACTCGATTCATTCCAGTGCCTTCAGGAAATTATGGAAAATGTATCCAATTAAAGTGCTACACATTTTGAACAAGTTTTTTGCTGACATGCATGTTACTTTGCTCAATTTAAAACAACAGCTCTGTCATTATTTCCCCGAAGAAATTCAAAACAGTTACGACAGTTGCAGATGGATACTAAATCCGTTTTTAGCTGATTCCTTTCAACATGTTGAAATACCAATAAACATGAAAGAAAAACTTATTGAAATATCAAGTGATGGAATGTTAAAGCTCCAATTTTTTTCCCAGAACTCGGACCAATTTTGGACTGAAAAGATGCAGGAATACCCCCAGTTGGCGAGTGAAGCTGTAAAATGTTTGGTTCCATTTGTAACATCATATTTATGTGAGTTGAGTTTCTCGTCTATGACTGCCATTAAAACAAGAGTTAGAAATCGTCTCGTACTTGAAAATGATATAATTGTGTGTGTCTCAAATACACAGCCTAGATTTGAAAGATTAGTTTTACAGAAACAGGCGCATAGCTCTCATTAAGATTATAATATTTGACTTTGGTTTACTCTTTTATTTTTACGGACTTTAATATTTAGTTTTATATTTCGTCTGATAATTAATTGTTAATTTCTATTTACGGCGTTGTTTAAATAAAAATACATGATCTAACAAAGTGGTGCTTTTGTCTTATTTTGGAAATGTTCGGCGACCCCCCTAGTAACTCATGGCGACCCCCCAGGGGGTCGCGACCCCCACTTTGGGAAACACTGATTTAACACATACCAAACTATATTTTTCAAACGCTACAGATCGATAGAAATATATAATCTCACATCTTTATAATAACGCCGCATATATATACATATATCTATTAAAACTATTAAGTATCTATTGCATGTACTACCGGATATGTCTATTCTTTATACAAACGCAACTAACGTACTATTGATTAACAAAACATATTTTAAACAATTTAATCAAATATTTTGTGCACATCAAGTATGCAGCAAGTGGCTCCAGAATTATTTGGCCTAAAATCTAGAAATTATTTGTTTGTTTCAGGTAACAAACTCAGATTCCATATTTTTGAATATATGATAATATTATTACATGCCTACAACTAGACCAGAAAAGGAAAACAGCTATAATAGTACATTAGTTCAAACTTTCATTAGAATAGTCGGGTTGAACAAGCTATAGATTAACTTCTTACTAAAATTAGTTAACAAAAATAAACCTCTAATACTGAGGATTGGGGGAATGTTGATGGTGGTAGGAATTAGAATTTGTACCGTTAACCATGGGCTGTCCAGGTTGGTTTTGTCTATTCTCGTTACTACCACACGGTCTTCCTGTATACCCTGCAGTGTTAGGTTTTATAATATTATGGTAGTTTCCAGCGTTATTGGCGTTGTAAGCGTTTCTAGTGCTACTGGTGGCAGTATATGAGCTATACGAAGAGTCATCAGACTGGACAGAAGATTGTATTCTGCGGGTTTGGGATCCCAACACACCATACATGGACTCTGGTCGATTTCCTCTAACTGGCTTGTTTTCCGTCAATTCTGAATTAGATGGGGCAGGTCTTGTACTGTAAGAATTCTCAGCGTGGTTTTCTCTTCTAGGTCTTTCCGCTGTTGAGTAGTTGTCACATAGTTGGCGTTCTGTTGTGGAGTAGTTATCTCTTTGGCGTTCGGTAGCTCCGTGTGTTTCTGGTCGATTTGCAGTACCTGGTGTTACCCCTCTAACACCGTATATTCCCTCTGTCCGTTGTTGTAGTTGGTTCTGTACGTTTTGGTTAGTAACATGGCTCTGTTGATTAATTCTTAATGGATACATGGATTGCGTAGGCACCAGAGGTCCAGGTCGTGGTAGTAAATCTTTATGGATTCCAGTATTTGACTTAGCATAAACAGATTGTGACCTATTTAAGTTGGCTCTTGTAAGAGGAGGTGAGTTGCAGTATAACGATTTGGTTCCTCCATAAATAGATTCTCCCCTTTCTAGTTTTGCAGCTGGTGCTGAGTATAAACTACCGCAGTAATTAGAACTCGATGCAGCCCCACCTCTAAAGTTATTAAAATTAGAACCATGAAATTTTGGAGGGGTTGGTTTTTCTATATCATCAAAGGTATCTATGTCATCTGATCTTATGCTTGAAGATTCTTCATCTGCGGCTTCTTTCGGTTTTCTTTGGCGTCGGGGATTGAAAATATATTCGTAGATTAAACCTGCTGCTACTCCACCGCACATAGGACCCAGCCAGTACACCCAATGGTTGTGCCATTTATTTAATACAAAGGACGGCCCCAAAGACCGTGCTGGATTCAAGTACGGCATCTGAAAACAAAAAATGTTTATTAGAACAAAAATAATTACAGATATTATTACATACTAAAATTATATGGGTATTGTGACATGCCAATATATGTGAAGAAACGTCAAATCTAGCATCTGCATAAACAATTGTGATTTAACGCTTGCACCATAGGGATTATACCCGAGTCAAGTCAGACAAAAGCTGAAAAAATCTTATACAAATACTTGAAGGGTGTAAAACGTATATGAAGGATCCTCCTCCTCCTTAATCTTTTCTCCTTCGTAAGGATGTAGTGGCGTCATGTAATTTGTTTGACTATTTCTGTCCAATTATCTCTCTCCTGTGCGTGTTGTTTTGCTTCGGAGAATGAGTAACCAGTCATCTTTATTTGGTGCGACCATCGTACTGGAGATCTTCCTCTGGATCTTTTACCCGCTTTTACCTTCAACTATCATTCGCTCCATGCCTTCTCTTCTTCTATTTATATGTCCAAAATATTTCAGTATATTTTGGTTGGTAGTTGTGATCTACCTAGTTGGTAATTGGTAGTCTAGTTTTTATGTTAAGTTCTTGAGTTATTTGTGCAATGGACGGTCCGTGGCATATGCAACATTCTACGGTAGTCCCACATTTTAAATGCCATTATAAGCTTTGAATCGACTTTGCAGGGTAAAATTGAAGGAAAAAGAGCCCCAGGACGAAGAAGAATATCTTGGCTTGCTAACCTGAGAGCATGGTATAGAAAGACCTCAACACAGCTATTTCGTATAGCAACCAACAAAATCATCATAGCCAGAATGATCGCCAACGTTGGGGACGGACAGGCACCCTAAGAAGAAGAATCGACTTAGTTTTGCTCGCGTGTGATATCAATGCTACTGTACGGTAATAACTGCAATCTGTAGGTGAACCTTTTTTATATAAGGCAATAAACGTGATCTCATTGCAAATTCTAAGCATTACTTTCGTCCCTAATTCTCCCATTTATTTGAATGATTCAGCTGTTATTCCATATTCTTCTGCTTTTCTGAATTTTAGCTTTTTAATTGTCGCCTCAATTTCTGATTTCAATATTTGAGGTTATTTTTCATAACTTCTCTCTGTATTATTGTCTGGGTCGTTGTTAGAGAATAGTGTTTTGCAATATTGTTTCCACACGTCTGCGATTCCGTCTGGCTTTGTTATGGTATTTCCAGTATTATCTTTGATGATATGATGATGATGATGAGGATTTCCAGTATTACAATACACGAAAACACGAATGACAATGGGCAAAGACTATGTAACCTAGCAACAAGAGCAAATTTGTTAATAAGCTCGACAAAATTTGAACACCCTAAAATACATAAGGTAACATGGAGGTCACCGGATCAGAAAACATATAGTCAAATTGATCATATAATGATTAATAAGCGAAAACAATCGTCAATAAAAGATGTAAGAACGTTCAGAGGTGCGTGTGCAGATTCAGACCACTACATGGTCACAGCCATTATAAAACAAAAAGTTAAAATTGAAACAAAACAAAAAAACCAACATAAAAAGTGGAATGTCAATAAATTGAGTAATGAAGAAGTAAGAAAAAAATATGAAGAGGCAGTAACAGTTCAAATAAAAGAGAAATATAAAGCAGAAGATATAAGCACAGAATGGGAGACGATCAAAAAATCAATAGAAGAAGGTGCAAATATGCAGATAGGTAAAAGTCAGGCTAAAACAAAAAACGAATGGTATAACCAAGAATGTAGAGAAATAACAGGAAAAAAAGTGCAAGCCAGAAATAAATGGCTAAGAACAGATAAAGAGGAAGACAGAGAAGAATATGAAAAATTAAGAAGGGATGCTAAGAAAGTGATAAGGCAAAATAAAAGAAGATGGGTAGACAAAAAAATGCAGGAAATAGAGCAGGAAAGAACAAACAGAAATACGAAAAGTTTTTACAAAAAGATTAAAGAACAAAACAAAAAATACAAGGGCAAAACAAACGGAATAAAAAAATAGAGAGGGAATAGTGATAATAGAGGACCAAGAATACAAGCAAGTATGGAGAGATTACTACAGAGAGCTCTTGACGGAGGAAACAACAGAAGAAGAAATGCATGACGAGGAGGAAACAGTACACGAAGAAGAAGCAAATGAAGGAGACATCGAAATTTCAAAAGAACCAACATTAGAGGAATTGGATGAAGTTATACAGAGAAGCAAAAATGGAAAAGCCCCAGGTAAAGATGGAATTAATATGGAACTAATAAAATACGGGGGAAGGGAACTAAGAGGAAAAATAGTGGCACTATTGAAAAATATATGGAAAGAAGAGAAAATGCCAGGTGACTGGGAGGTAAGACAGATCATAACAGTACATAAAAAAGGGAGACCAACAAATCTGTGAAAATTATAGAGGAATAACATTACTAAATACAACATATAAAATATTGACATCAATAATAAAAAAGAGGTTATCAAAGATCACAAAGAAGACAGTAGGACAGTACCAATGTGGATTCACAGAAGGAAGATCTACAATAGATTGCAATACACACAATAAAAACAAATAATGGAAAAAGCAAACGAGTATAAATTAGAACTGGAAATGTTATTCGTAGACTTCAAACAGGCATTTGATTCTATTAAAAGGAACGTATTAATGACAGCACTTAAAAAATTAAAAATTCCACATAAACTCAGAAACTTAATAGAAATGACAATGAGAACTACAAAAATAAGCATAAAGACACAAAGAGGAGAGACAGAGGAATTCAGTATAAATAAAGGGATGAAACAAGGAGATGCCTTATCAACAACGCTATTTAATCTAGCATTAGAATATGTACTGCGAAATATAAATAAAGGAAATCTCAGAACAAGAGGTGGTCAAATAATTGCATATGCAGATGATATTGCTATTATTGCAAAGAACAGAAAAATAATGAAAGAAATGCTTGAAGAAATAAGAGAGAAAGGGGAGGTAATGGGGCTAAGATTAAATCAAGAAAAGACAAAAATATTAAGATTAGGGAAAAAACCAATAAAGGAAAAGATCAAAATAGGAAGTTCTGAGTTTGAAGAAGTAGAATACTTCAAATACCTAGGAGTTACAATAAGTAAATCCGGAGAAAGGAAATCCGAAATAAAAGAAAAAATATTAGCAGCGAATAAAGCTTATTTTGCAAACAAAAGATTACTTAAAAGCAAAACACTGACTAAAAAAAGCAAGATGAGCATTTATAACACCATAATTAGACCAATATTATTATATGCAGGGGAAACAATGACGATGGTTAAAAAAGATGAAGAAGACTTAAGAATTGCAGAGAGAAAGATTATGAGAACCATACTAGGACCAATCAGAATAGAGCAAAATGAATATAGAAGCAGAACAAATGCAGAAATTAAGGAAGAACTTAAGGAAGACATCGTAACTAAAATAAAGCAATGCAGAGTTAGATGGTTAGGTCACATTTGGCGAGCAGGCGATGAGGCAGTGACATACGCAATGATAGAATGGAATCCTGGAGGAAGAAAGAGAAGGGAAGACCGAGATCAAAGTGGCTGCAAGAAGTTGAAGAAGACCTCCAAAGGGCAGGAGTCAGTGAATGGAGAGGAAAAACTAGAGACAGGAAAAAATGGAGAGATATTGTCAAGAAGATAAGATAAACAAAAAAAAGACTGATCCATTTAAGAAATAGGATCTAGAAAGCATTTGCGGTTTAACCCCACGCTGGGGTGTATAGCCATTATATATATTATATATATATATATATATATATATATATATATATATATATATATATATATATATATATATCTTTGATGATCCGTGCCTGCAGTTTGAGTTATATACATACTTGACTTTTGAGAAAAGTTCTCTAGATTCTTGGCGGTCAACATGTTCCTCTAGTTGTACACATATGTTTTTAATATAATTATTTTTGTCCCTTCTGCACAACTGTTTTATAGTTGTATATATGGTGCATATCTATATTTACTTTTATTTTGAATTTGATGTGCCGTTTCTAAGTTTTCTTCTCTCAAATACAAGATTAAGAGTCTCTTCAGTAATCCAATGTTTTTTCCTAGCTGTTTTGTCTTTGAGATTAGTATTGTTGATGGCTTCAGTGATCCATTTCTTTGTGTATTCCCACGTTTTGTCAGGGTCTCCGGTAGTCACTGGTAAGGGCTAATGCTTCTCTAAACTTTTCCGGGTGTTTTGTAATCAATTTTTGTCTTTCTTTTTTTGTCTGACAAAAATATAATCTTTTTGATTCTTGTATCGTCCTCCAGGCAAAGACCATGTTGATAATATTCGCAGATGATGTTGAAACATTGTGTTTACTATACTAAGATCCATATCGATGGCAAATTGAAGGAGCCGTTCACCTCGTTTATTTAGCTTGCCTAAGCCATGCTCACCTATCGTTCCTTTCAAATGGTCATCTATTTTAGTTTTTCCTATTTTTGCATTCCAATCTCCTATTATCTTCATTGCTTTTTTAGGAATGTTAGAGATGGTTTCATGTATCATGTTTCTTCTGCCGCTTCGGAGGTTAGCATATATACCTGTATAATATGCATTTTGGCTGGTTTTGTTGTGATATATCAAAAAAGGTATTTCAATACATGTAGCGCCATCTTTCTATGTACTTTGTAAACACTTGATGTATGGCGTGTTGCCAATATTGCTTATTAAAATAAAGGTGAAGTCGTTGCTATCGAACAAAACATGGCGTTTATTATTTCAATGTACCCCAGAAAATCCTCACTTCCACTATAATTTTCAAGAGGTTATGTGCCCAGCATTCAGTTTTAAAGTTCTATAACCTGAAGGTATCAGTTGTGAGTTTTTTTGGTAACGTAGTCACGTAGGGTCGAGTGAAATTCGCAGTTTGTTTTGTGGACTGAAAATGGCGGCTACGAATTATTTAGCCAGTGTGCCAAAATTAATGGGTCGCGAGAACTATGATGATTGGTCTTTTGCGATTGAAAACGTTTTTGTGCTTGATGGTTTATCGAAATGCCTGGA